CGTCATTAATTTTACTTAGAAAATGTAAAACTATTTTGGCTGCCCATTTGGCTCTTAAAAAAATTGCCTTTGTTTTTAAGTCCCTAGTAGGGTGATCCCCAGGTATAACAACAATATGTAGTGGCAAGCCTGCTGCTCTCAAGAAGATGCAGATAATAGGCCTTTACTGTTGATAAGGGGTTACAAGCAGGGAAACCTGAGTGGCTTTGAATCGGATGTACATAAAAACCAGCATTCGGAATTTCTTGGAATTCTTGCTGTGGCAGAATTTTATTTAACCTTTTGGGAAAATTCAATTTAAGTTAAAAAAAAAAAAGTGTATCAGAGTTGGAACTTTGTCATTGAATTGCTTCCTTTAAAAAAAAATCATCTCATTAAACAATATTTTCCTGTGTTTACAAAGGAACTTGGAGCAAGTTTGAGCATAATGTGCCTTTTGTAATGTGGCACAATATTCAGTTTAAAAAGTACATGGTATCCTAATATAATTGATTATTTACCTAATTTTACAGCACTGACTAATTCCCCAAAGTTTTAATTCATTCATACCAGCCCCTTTCCTCAAACGTTATTTACAATATATTGTGTTTACCCCAATGTTGTCAGTTTGGGTGGAATCCCGTTAACCAACCAGTACATTTTCGAGTTATGGTAGAAAGTGCATAAAAACGCAGGGAGAATATACATGCTAAATGCAGAGTGTCCCCGGCAAAAACTGAACCCAGGATGCAAGGTACACATTTATAGTACATGGCCACCAGATTGTTCAGCATAATGATAATACTTTACAATGCAGCAACTATTTTGTTTTGACTTACTGTTGAGGTGAGAACCATGTGTTTTGATTATGATCAAGTAGTATAGCTGGATCTTATTAGATTAAACCAAACAAAAAAAGGAAGACACACGTCATCATTATTTTCCATTTCCATCTTTAGGATGTATTGGCAGTTGAGTAGGTTACACACGACTATGTAAATAATATCAAATGTGTCCTCCCACAATTTGTAGTCACTTATCAGTTTCCTCTTGGAGATTTCTTTGGAGTATTATAGTTGTGTTATTGCCCAACCACAAGCCCACAACAAAGATACAACTATCTCGCAGCTGGCCTAACAAACTATTTCTTTATTCTAAATTCTGAAGAAGCGATCTTGGAATCCTGACACTATCATTGTCTTTTGCAGTTGGGCAGACCTGTAAATTCTGATGTGGACCGTTCTTCTGTATTCTTTAAGAATTGTAAAAAGCCAGGAAGTGAAAGCATTTTGTAAGGAGTCACAAAATCCTAATGTATAATAATAACAATAATAATTTTGGAATAGACTTGGAATTATAATTGGAAATATTTTGGAACAGACAGTAACACAAAATGCTAATGTATAACAATAATTTATTATTTTAGAATAGACTTTAAAGTCAATTTCCCTCAGTTTTATGTTGAAGCTGTATTTAAATCCAAGAACTAAACTGTAAATTTGATTCTAAGGGTTTACAAACATTTTATAAAGCCCTATGCTCAATTCATGAAGCGTTACAGAAGGATAATGATCTAAGTTTTTTAAGGCCTGTAATTTTTAAAACTCATTAGACTGGGCTAAAAATACCTGTCAAATTTTTGCCAATAAGGATCCTTTTCTGGTGTTTTAGCTTTGTGTATTGAGTCTCTTACATTTTTGATTTAGAATTGCAGCAGCCTCTTTATACATAATTCTAGAGAGTGATGATTAATGGTTTCCCAGTGCATGATTCAAACACTGCATATTGTGAACAAGGAAGAGACGCTGTGAAACCCCACTCTAAATGTATTGTTAATATTCTATTTCTTTATATAATATTTTATCATGGATGAAAATCAATTTGTTGGAATAGATACTTTTCTTGCAACTAAAAAAATGAAAATGAATGTACTGTTTCTTTTCATGTCTGTGCTCAGTTTAAAAATACAAAAACAAATAACTGGTAACATTAGCGACACTTGATTTTGAGATAACAAAAGTTTATGGTTTAATTTTAAGTTGTGGGTTATTCGCCTCCAAACTCTTGTAAGTCATAATCAGTTTGGCAGGTAGGTTAGAGTAAAGGTGAAACCACTCAGTGCTTTTCAAATAAGACAGCATGACTTTTTTTTACATTTTTTTTTCCAGCATCCACTGTTATATTTTTCACATTAAAATACGGTACCTAATATGAATCATTCTGAACACCAACTATAATAACTATGCTGAGTCCAGCAATAACTCAAATGTGCAGTATATCATACTCACCTTTTATTTAAGAGCAGGCATGTTCTAGACTCCCTCTACAAGGCTTTTTTTTTTCTTAAAGTATACGTATAGGAAAAGTAAAAAAGAAATGAAGTGTTGCAATAAATGCACAATTTCCCATGTTCCCACAGCAAATATAGAAAAATACCTGCTGATCCTACCAGAATTCCTAACTTCCTACCATTGAGTTCCTAACTTTCTGTAGTGAGAATTGATAATGCTGCCACTGCTGCATTAAAGGGTAAGTCCACTTTCCCAAATGAATTCGGGGAAAATGGAATCATCCCCTTCAATCTTGCCCCCTCTCCCCCGCTAGACTTACCTGCTGTACTATCCATAACCCATACTGCCGTGTAGCATAGCCTTGCACTATGAATTTTGAATTTCATTAGCAAATGGCGAACACTCATTGGTCAGCGTGGTCACCATACCGCACTAACTAATGAGAAGCACTTCTTAGCAAGAAGCACTTCTCATTGGTCAGCACAGGGGGCTGGGGGTTAGATTAGAGGGGAAATTCCATCTTCCCAAATTCACTTGGCAAAGTGGACTTACCCTTTAAAGTCCAAAGCAGTGTTATCAGCCCTGCCTGAGCTCTGCCCTGTTGAATTACAGAAGGCCCACCCCTTATGTTATGGAGATGAGGAGAGAGGTGTTCTGAGCAAGGCAGAAGGCCGCACTGACAAAGCTGCTTGGAATTTCAGTGCAGCAGGTGCAGAGATATCAGTTTACTACAGGAGGTTAGATGATCATTGGACTGGACAGAGATGTACTGTATATATGGCTGTTTTTTTTTTATTTTTAATTTGCCCAGCCATACACTATTTACCAGTGTTCCTATCTATAATGTTTATACTGCAAACTCTCACAGTTGTAAAACGAAGCATATGCACCATTCCATGGGGCATGACTCCATAGCTGTACCCTAATGATTATAGCTGAACTCCAGGCCTATAGCTAAACACAGAGAAATTCATATATTTGAAATGCCGTACGTGTTAAATATTTGTAATTCTTTTCAGCCATTCTTGTAATCCAGGTACCCCTGACAAACCGCATAGCTAGACCGATAACCTCACTTTGGTTCTCCTACAGTTGAGCAATATAGCTTTGTTACCAACTTGTTCATAGCCTCCTGATTGGCAAATATAGGTACATCAGCACTTATAGAATGTTATCACTATGTTTTCTTCCTATACCAGTGTTAGATTTGATAGCACTGTACATTAGAGTAAGGATAGGCTCACAGTGCTGCCACTTCCTCACAGTCAGAATCTTGCTTATAAATTACAAATCCATTGCTGTGTTGCATGTATTGTGCCATCGCAAGGTGAGTACTCCAGGGCTAGGTGCTGTAACAAACACCTTTTTTCACTTACTGGTAAGGCTGCACTAGAAGTTTAAAGGAGAACTATGGGGTCAGTGCTTTTCCCCATAGTTCTCTTAAGGGTAATGGAAGCGTCCTCCCGTCACCCAAAGCTCAGTATACCATGAGCTACAGCTCGTGGTATACCGAGACGCCGCAGCCGGAACGGATCCTGACATTGCGGTCTGGATCCACCCAGCTGCATGAGTGACAGCTGGCTCTGCCTATCTAGAGGGAGAGCCAGCTCTACGCGCCCCCTCCACCATCCGTTCCGCCAGTCAGCGCTGGAGGATCGGACAGGGGAGGGGGGGAATCCCTGCGGGGGGCCGTGAGAGACCGTGACGGCTCTCTGCACGGATAGATCGAGAAGTGAGCGACAGTATGTGCTCACTTCCCGATCTACTGTGCCGACCTGTGACAGTTTCATTGTCACAGGTCGGCTCAGATTATGAGGCTGAGTGAAAATCATTTGCCTCATAATTCTCTTTTTTTAAGTTGCTGTGTTGTTGATAAAATAGAACTCTATGGAAGAACTGAAGAATATTGTAAAAGGTTAAACAAAAGTAAATCCAAGACTATACATTCTACATTTCAAATGGGTTGTGTTTCCATTATGGACCTACAGTATGCTCTGTCAGTCCAATAATGATACCAGTCATGTGCTTTTTATTATAAAAATATACGGACTTGGAGACCAAGGGCTATAAAACAATCAATGTAACATTCAGCAAACATTCACTGCAGATATAACTGACTTACAGTGAATGTTTGCTGAGTTGCTTTCACTGCTTCATAAATGCCCTCAAAAGTGTTCATGTTTCTCAGTGTATATACATTTTTCCACCATTTTCTTTTTAAAGTTAGAAGCTGTTTCTACATTATAACTAAATCATATTGGTCAGAACAAAGTGGTGCCAAATGTAATTGCATTATTCAGGGACATAAACCTATAAAATTTACAAACACGCAAATTAGGCTCTCCTGTGTATAACATTTATCCATTGCTTGGTTGCTTTTATATTAATATTTTCACTTTGAGGACGAGTAAAAGCAGTTAGATTGTGGAAAGAGAAACGATGCACGCAGAATTTCCATTGAGTTAAGCAACCTAATAGCCAGCGTAGCATCAGTGGCTATGCAGCTCTTCATCTTCATGAAGTGGAAAGAGGTTTTGGCTGCTTCATGGCCTTTTAAATTACTTATGCCGTGGCATTAGACCTATTGATGAAATTTTAAATGTAATATAGTGAAGGATGGCCTGCTAATCATGGTCTCTAAAGTAATAGTGCCAAATTCCTGTGGTGTGGGATAATACGTTTTGTGTTAATATTTAATCACTGTTAAATAGCTGTTCTTTTCCATTACAGCCCCTCTCTGCCGGCCCTTGATTGGCATCTGCCATCCCAGTCAGGACCTTATGAACTGAGAATTGACGTGCAGCCCAAATCTCATCACAGAGCTCATTATGAGACGGAAGGAAGCCGAGGGGCGGTGAAAGCATCTACAGGAGGCCATCCCATTGTGCAGGTATGCATGTGATAGGACACTGTTTATACTGGCTCTGGTTCAAAAACACTTTTTTTTACGATGGGCAAAATTAGAGAGATGAAATGTGCTTTCCCAGAGATGTCACAAATGAACTTGCCCTGAATTCCATCAGATTGTCTAACAATACTTACTTTGTTTTCTTTAGCAGTCATAAACTGCATGTACTAAATATTTTAAAAACCATAACCATTTAGGACAGCAATGTCTTATAATGGGTTAGTAATACCCTGAATGCAAAATTTGTCCACTAGGGAAAATTATCTTTGGGATCATATGACAAAATTATGTTAACCATGGAATGGACCAAAGTGTAGTACTTTGTTAACGTGGCATAGATAGTTGCCCCCTCTTGCCACAGGATTATATTTGTCCTGGTTGGCGGTGCAAGTCTTCTCATTCTTTTTTTTTCCTTCAAGTGAAAAACTGGAAGCTATGCAGGAAAAGCAGAAGCTTTGACAATGCAAATGGCACACAGCATATTGAAAAATAATTTTTAATAAGATATTCTTACCATTTTAGATGTTTTGTTAAATCAGGCAAGATGGCTGAGTCCAGGTTTTTCTTAGCTCTTTTACAGTGATGGAAAGTCTTGGGACAGAAATGTGAAAATTGTGCTTATCTGATAAGCTTCATTAACACACAATGGGCATACCTTCTCTGAATGGACGGGACCCCTCGCCCATCACAACCCCTCCTAACATTTAAAAGAAATAGAAGCACAGAGAAATTGTAACCCTTAAAATTTAGTTTTTTTTTAGCTTTTGCTGTGTGCATGGGAACATGCAACAAATATAGGTGTTATCCTAATTTGGCTGCAAAAGTGGAAATACACTGTAAGAGTAATACTAAAGTTGGCCATACAGCTTGCTGGCTGAATGAAAAAAATAGAGAAGATTTCTCAATCGATGCAACAAGGGCATTGATCGAGGAATCCCTGCTGTTTCTTTTTATATTCTGACAATGGCCATACCCTAATAGAGCCTGCAGCTCATTGGCTGCTGGCTCTGTTCATACGAAGGGTGCCAATGGCGCACCCACTGTTCAATTTCGTCCGGCTCTTCAAGCTGGCCAAAATTTGCACATTGTATGGCCACCTTTACTAACTGCGAGGCAAATCACTGCACATTTAAAGGCAGAAGATCAATTCAGCTTTCAAACAAAGGAGCCTTGTGCTTTAAAACCCTGTAGTGATGTCCGCTCAGTTAGGTAATGTATCCCTTTTAAAATTACTTAAAATTCCCACAAAATTTGATACATCCAGTTTTGTAGGAACCGAGGTCTCGGAGATAGCTGTTTTTCCATTTTGCTACAAAATGTTATAGCACTCTTGATACCTATAACACTGGGTACAGCTGTCGACTTCAGTTATATAGTAAGACAACTTAGCCTCTTGCATTAAAATAAATCTAGATATTTAAGATTCTCCCCCACTCAATTTTAATTCTTCCCAAAAGATGCATGCTAAAGTCTGTCTTAAGGTTTCACAGTCTGGCCAATCCATCTACAATAGGGACAGTTGGGGATGCAGGTCATCAACACAGTGCAATAATGGGGTGCACATGATGAGATACTTGGTTGTACTAAAATGAATGGCTGGATTTTCTTTGGCAATTGGATCCAGACTGGCTAATCTGAATCTTGGCTTCATCATTCTCCTCATTTGGCTATGCTAACCTGAAATCTGATTGGTTGTGAGGAGTTAATAGGCTTGGTATATTGTCATCGAACTTTGTACTACCTTTTTAGTTTTCATCCTTTTTATATGGAATAGATCAGATTCTCAGTCCAGTGGTCATTTTTGGGTGACATCAATATATTATATACTTCTTAAATTTGATGCATCTATTCTTTTGTTTAAATCAAATCTAATAAATTAGATTCCTAAGTTAAACTAAATTAAAAGATCTTGCCACATTGAAAAATGCTTTAAACTGTGGCACATGACATATTATTATTTACTCATAAAACAATATAACATACATTAGTATCCTACTATGCACACTAATTAACTTTATTACAAACATTTTCTATAACATTATTTTCTCATCAAGCACTGACGAAAATTTGGAAGCATAATATTTTGTGAATATTATAGAATAAATGCTAGTATACAAGAGCAAAAAGTTACTCAACTTTCATCCTAAATTAACTTTGCAATGCGCAAAATGTAAGGTATAACATTTACCTTTTTTATATAATTATTAATGTGGTCATTGAACCAGGATGAGTTCTATTTACAGTACTTAGGGGTCAATTTATAAATGTTTTCACACAAGATTGACACAACTTTGACCCAAGATTCACTCATATTTCTAGTAAAATTATGTTGGAAGAAACATGAATCCTGGGTAAAAGTTGTGCGATGCTTATGTGAAAAAATCTATACATAGATCTCTTAGTATTTAGGTTATACAAAATAGAGAGTAGTCTATGTAGCTGCTACATATATGATAATATAATACTAATGTCATAATAAGGACAAAAAGGACATTTATTCGTGCTGTATCAATAGTAAATTAAACTGAATTTAAACTCACCAGTGCTCAGCAATGCATTTTTCTTGATGCGTGTCACATTCTGCTACATTGAATGTGTCCTGGTGCTCTGATATGGCTCCTGCACAAATGAACATACAGACTATGAAGTGAGGTCCAATGCTGTCACATTTAAGATGAGCATCACACACATTTACTACCCTTGTTCCATGCCCTTGTTAAGTGTAATTTTAATTATTTTTGTAAAACAATTTACGCATAATTTTATTTGGAGAATAAAATTGTTTAACGACTTTGAGATAGTTGCGCAAAAATTTAAAATGAGTTTAAAATCAATTGGGGTTGATTTAATAAAGGGGTAGAGCGTGTTCAGTTTGCAAGAGCATTTTGCCATACTTTGACTGTGGTGAAATGTCATTTTGCAAAGAATACTAAATCACAAGCTAGCAAAAAAAAAGCTAAAGGGAAAATGTCCATGCAAAATAAAAGTTCAGTTTGTGTAGTGAAAAGCCTGTTCTCATTTTAGTAAATCAACCCAATTGAAAACAATGAAGTTGAAGGGCTTGTCTCTAAAGAAATGGTAAAGATGAAATGAAAATGACATACAGTCGGCTTTGGCTAGCTATTCCGCTCCCACTGATTAGTTTGAAAATTGTAGACAGCCTTTTACACATTTTCCTCATTCTCTTTGCTTTTGCAGTAAAACACAGTTTATACTGCAGAATTATGGAGCTGTTCTAGACTAAATACAGTGTAATGTGAGCAGAGTACTATCCCTCATCATTCGGCAATGATTATGTCTGTTCTCTTA